TTTTTTTTTTTTTTTTTTTTTTTTTTTTTTTTTTTTTTTTTTTTTTTTTTTTTTTTGGCAAAGACATTAATTAAAAAGAAAACTATTTTACCTTTGTTAACTTATAAAATGCACACACGTATATATATATATATATACACACACATATTTAAACAACATCAAATGTAAATATTTTGTTTTAAAAAAATGTTCAATGCCAAAACTTTCAATCTCCAGTTCAATATTTTGAAGAAAATAGGAAACTATACTAGTTTTATTTCTTTGATAAAAAGGAAAAAAAGTAATTATAATTGAAAGTTTTATTTTTATTTAATTTTAAATAAAGTAGAGATTTGGAAATATGAAGGGAAAAAAGTACATTACTTGTTTTGGGATAGTACTGGTAGGTGACGACGAGCATCTGTGAATTGGAAAGGCCAGTATTGTGTTCACATTGGCATTTAATTGCCAGCTGCTCGTTTGAAAATTGTTTTCATTGTTTCAGGAAAAAAAAAAAAAACATAAACAATTTATTTTAAAAAACTTGAAATAAATTTTATAAAACTAACAGCAGTTCTGAAAAAAAGTAAACAGGAAAGAAGTTAATAAAGATATATTTTTTGTTTTTCTATTAGTAAGAAAGGGAAACAATTATTATATGATTAGGAAATGAAATGAATAATTACTCAAGTGAGTGTAATGTTTTCCATATTGAATCAATTTTTTTTAAAAAGATAAAAAAAAAAGAAGATAAAACTAATAGTTTCATTTCAAAACTGGTTTGTATCTATTTAAATTTTATGTTTAATAAGCCTTTGAACTTTAAGCTTTTTTATTTTCAATATGTTTATGGTTCTTCTTTTTATAAAACATTTTTAGAGATACAAGTGAAAATTCATACCTGAAGGATTTAAAACTTAGGCCAAGTGTAGAGAGAACTTGGGTAGGTGGGGATGATAAATGGTGTTAGTTTGGGAAGGCTAACAAACTACGACAAGTGTCCAACATCAACACAATATTTATTTTTCCCTTTCCCCTTTTTGAACTAACATCCAACCAGATTTATTTTTCCCAACTTAGAAAGCAGATTCACATGCAGCCTCTAATATTGTCATTACCTTAAACCAAAAAGTTGTCCAAAACACCCAACCTTAACTTTTATAATTGGGTTTCCTCGGAATCAAGTTCATTTCCCTTCAAATCTTTCTTGTCAACGAAAATGGAATTCATTTTCATATCTACGTCTCTCAGCAAATTAAACTAACATTGTTTAAATCTTATCCCAACTTTTAAAGTTACAAAAATTTCAAAGACTTGTTTGGTTTGGTTTTAAAAAGACTTGTTGTTTGGAAGGATTTTATAAGCTGACTTGTTATTTGGAAGGATTTTTAAGCTGCTGAAAAAAGAAGTTGATTGTAGGATGAACAAGGGAAAATCATCTCTAATTTAATTGTTACGCACTTAACACTTGAAAGGGTGATATAGGGTGTGGGCATCGGCTGGCCACTTCGGGGTACGCAGTGTTTGGGATAGACTATGAAGGACATGGACGATCCAGTGGAGCTCGTTGCTACATCAAGAAGTTTGATAACATAGTTGCTGACTGTTATGCCTTCTTCACTTCCATTGCTGGTATGCCAAAACATATATATATCGCATCTGAATCACAATAATTCCTCATATTCATAACTTCGCTGCTCAGTTTTCCCATTTCCCATTTCCCATTCAAAAACTGTTACTGAATTTCATTAGATTTATGTTTCTTGAAAATGAAAAATAGCTTTTCGCCTTAACTCCCAAATGACCCTCTCAAGATTCTAAGCTTGTAAGTAATGTTCTACCAGTTGAGGAAGAATACAGAGACAAGTGCAGGTTCTTGTACGGAGAGTCAATGGGTGGGGCTGTGGCCCTTCTTCTGCACAAGAAAAATCCCAGATTTTGGAATGGTGCTGTTCTTGTAGCCCCAATGTGCAAGGTGCATATATAAATGACCAATTTTAAAGCCGATTTGGAATGACTTTTTAAGTGTTTTAAAAAAAATGTCACTTATAAAATCCTTCCAAATAGGCTCTTAGTCCATTTACTCGTTAGTTTTTTTGTTATTGAACTGTAGTAATTTGAAACTGCTTCTCATCCAACTGCTTTAATTAAACATTAGATATCCGAGAAGGTAAAGCCGCACCCTTTGGTTGTGAATCTGTTGACAAGAGTAGAAGAAATTATACCCAAATGGAAAATAGTCCCAACAAAGGATGTCATAAACTCAGCCTTCAAGGATCCCATAAAGCGAGAAGAGGTATATGAAATGCACTAAAAGACATCGTAGAATAGGAAAAATCATTCCATTCAGCTGCCTTCCTAACCATTACATACTTGATTTCTCTTTTAAGCATGCATTTGCCAGTATAAACCACTACAGCCCTTTATATTGATTTCTTGGTAATAATCTATGCAGATAAGAAGCAATAAGTTAATATACCAAGACAAGCCCAGGCTCAAAACAGCCCTTGAGATGCTAAGAGCGAGCATGAGCCTAGAAGATAGCTTACACGAGGTTAGCTCAAGATTTTTATCCAGTACATTACATTACAAATTCTAAAGATTACAGCACAATGTCGTCTCAAAAACAGGTAACACTCCCATTCTTCGTTTTACATGGAGAAGCCGATATAGTGACAGACCCAGAAGTAAGCAGAGCATTATACGAGAAAGCAGGCAGTAGAGACAAGACCATAATATTGTACCCAGGAATGTGGCATGGGTTGACATCAGGAGAACCAGATGAGAACATCCAAATCGTATTCTCAGACATCATAAATTGGCTGGACAAGCATACCGAAGGGGATATGGCAGGGTTTCAACTTCAGTCGACTCGCTCAAATGGTAATGGCGTCGATGAGAGATTCAATGGCCAGAAGACCACATTTAGCAATCGAAAAGAGGGTCGAAAAAGTGGTAGTTATCTCTGTGGTTTGAAGGGGCGGTTGCAATCCGCGATGTAGGGGGCGCCATTGTTTATTAAGAATGCTCTCTGATTCTTTTCACATCTTGGCTGTAAAATCTTTTGGGTTCGACTGAAAAGCCCTTGAAATTACAACTTAGTAGCCTTTGTAATGGATTCTTAATTGCTACCATGTATGGAAGTAGTCTACTTTATCCACGTTATGATGGGTTTGTTGAATAAGTCTACCAAATTTGTTCGACGTCCACAAAATTGTAGAAAGATATCAGAATTGAGAAGAAATAATCCATCATTTTCAGAGTTTGGCATGATTTTTGGTGCATCTCAAAATTCAAAAGGAACAGGGAAAGAGAAACTTTGCCTCAATCATTTTCATCCTTTTCATTTTTGTTGTTAAGAATTCTGTAATTGATGTGAATGGGATATGGGATATGGATCAAACTTACAACACAACATTTTACTCAACAAAATCAAAAACAAATTGTTCTGAACATTCCTAACCTGTTAAATTTCCATACACAGAAGCAGCTTCACTTTCACTCCCTTTGCTTCTGCACTCCACCTTATACCATCAACTTTAACCATTATACTTAACAGCAGCACAAGAACAACTCCGTTTTCGCCAGTGAATTGAATTCATTCTCCTACTCGGGATGACGACGACGACTAAGCTGTCGTTTTGGTCCCGCTGTTGTCCTTATGATCACCGAAGATACGTTGTCGAAAGTCAGAGACCATGAGCGGGAGACCCTTACGGAGAGAAACTTTCGGCTCCCACCCAAGAAGATCCTTGGCCTTAGTGATGTCTGGCTTCCTCTTGTGAGGGTCGTCCTCCGTGTTCGCCCTGTACTCTATCTTTGCATCTGGGTCAATCGTTTCTTGCACAACCTGCTCACACAGCATATACATACAACGTCATTGGCACCGTAACGTTATTGCTACATTACTTAGTCCAAAGGAATTGATTTGATTAAGAGAGGTTCATATTTTCCACCGTTTGACTTTTGTTTCTCTTAGTTGCAAAGTCTAAAAGAGAGAGTTTTTGAGTATTTGCAAGAAAAGGGTACCTTGGCAAGTTCAAGCATGGTGAATTCACCAGGGTTCCCAAGATTGAAGGGTCCAATGTGCTCTCCTTCCATTAGCCTCATCAATCCCTCAACCTATCAAACCGCCGCATCGTCTTATATCAGTTTCAAATCATCGTTGAACCCAAAAGTTTTAATATTAACACAATATGTATCTCGACTTAAACGATCACCTAAGCGAAGTAATGAAGAGAAAAGTGCTTACAAGATCAGAAACATATTGGAAACTCCTGGTCTGCTTCCCATCACCATACACAGTAAGAGGCTCCTTCCTCAAAGCCTGCATTGCCCAAAAACAATTATAACAATATCCTGAAACACGCGTTCGTGTCCTTAAACTTAAATCACGTTGAGAACTTCGAACGATACTTTTGTTTAGTCTCTATCGATAACATCAAAAGTCAGAGACGAAAATTGAGAGAGGTTACCTGGGCAACAAAATTACTAACAACACGCCCATCATCAATGCACATTCTTGGACCATAAGTGTTGAAAATTCTGGCAATTCTAACCTGTAAAAGTGAAAGATAATTAATAATCAATTGAAAATTTTCATTTTTTTTAATAAATAAAAAACCTAATAATTAATTAATTAATAGTATAATAAATGATTGTTACCTCAACTTCAGCTCCTCTGTGATAGTCCATAGTCAACGTCTCGGCCGTCCGTTTTCCCTCGTCGTAACAGCTTCGCACACCTGTCATGAATTCCGACAATAACAAATTTACCAAAATGCCCTTCTCTTCAGATCTAGATTCAAACATGGCGGTTCCAATAAGATTTATATATTAAAAAAATAAAAATAAAAACGTAAGGGGAAAAGACGCTAATGCCCTTCATGGATTTGACTCAGGTGGGATAACAAAGGACTCGTGTGGTTGGTGGGGGCCCGCAAATCACGGAGATCTCTACCCTTATAAAACAAAAAAACTGCAACCAATTTAAACCCTAATGAAATTAGTAAATTACCTTCCTACCCATAGACACAAATTTATATCTAATTTTAATACCTTAAATTTTATGTTTATATATTTATTAACTTAAAAAATATTTGAAACTACTCGACATTTTTAAAATTTCAGGGTCTAATTAAAAAAAAAAATGATAAATTTATTTTCAAATTGATTTGTTCCCAATTCAATATAACTTTAAAATAACTTAATATATTAATAATAATAACATTTTTAATGTATTTTTTAAGGAATAAAAAAACTAATACGAATTTTGAAAGTTTTTGAGCATTTTTAAAATGAGTTATTGAGTATTCTTTTAATTATGGTATTATTGTAATTTGATTTAAGGGATATTTTGGTAATTTAAGCATAGAAAAATTAACGACTTCTGAACCTAGCCGGAGTTGAATGTTTAGAGCAGACCAGCCGCCGGAAAGAAGGGCGCAGGTTGAGATATGTGCACGTTAGATATATCATATAGTTTAATGCTAACCTGCGCGGGAATATCCTTTTTGTGAAAAAGACCAATTATGAAAACAGTAAGAAGAAGAAGAAGAGGAAGAAACTGACCGATGGGATTGACGTTGCCCCAGTAGGTTTCAACTTGTGGGTGTTGAAGAGGATCTCCATAGACTTCACTGGTACTGGTTAGCAGAAACCTTGCTCCGACCCTCTTCGCTAAGCCCAACATGTTCAAAGTCCCCACCACATTGGTCTTGTGAAATCCTCTACAAACAAAGTCAAGGAACCAAAACCCATATTTCCAAACAAACAACAAAACCCAATTCTAAAATTTAAATTCAGAGGATATGATTGTCTTGACGGGGTTGAATTTGTAATGAACAGGGGAAGCAGGGCATGCCAGATGGTAGATCTGGTCCACTTCAAGAAGCAGCGGCTCAACCACGTCGTGTCGAATCAGCTCAAATCTCGGATTCCCAAAATGGTGCATCACGTTCTCCTTCCGTCCGGTGAAGAAATTGTCCACCACTATCACACTGTCGCCTCTCTCAATCAGACGGTCCACGAGGTGCGACCCCACGAACCCGGCCCCGCCGGTCACTACGATCCGGAGCCCCTTTCGCTTCAGCCCCAGTGGGATCTTGCCTCCGGAGTTCATGACCCGGTGGATTTGGAATCCAGCTCGGTGCTCGTACGATGGCGTATTGGACCACCGGGCAAGGTCGGTTGGGATCGGGTCGTATCCGTATCCGTAACCGACCCGGGAAGGGGAATTGGAAGAGGGGAAGAGGGTGAAGGCAAGAGTAGCTATACCAATGCCGACGAGGACGAAGAGGAGGCGTTGTTCGCGAAGCATGTAGTGGATCGGGCGAGTCATGGACAGCCATGGCTTTGGGGGTTTTGGGGAATATGCGTCCGCCGGCGGTTGGGTCTCGTCGTGCCCTCTGAATATCAGCTCCGATCCCATTTTTTTATTTCAAATTCAATCGGAGGGAGTCGAAATGGAACGGGGTATAGGGGTTTTCTCTTATCACGGCGGCGGCAACGGCGGAGGTGGGATTGCCGGGAATGGAGGTCCCAGGCGACGGAGGTGAGAAGAGGGGTTATGTTTTTCCTTATGAGGAAGTGGCTGATCTTGGGGGTCTTAAAGGGACAGACGTTAGAGGAAAAGGGCTGGATTTGGTATATATTACGGAAATGCCATTAATTTCAGTAACGTTTCTGCTCTGTTCCCTTTGTAAAACGCCTTCTTTGAATTTTATTCCAATTTAATCTTTTATAATTTCAGCTTTATTTTAATTTCTTTATATATAATATTTAAAAGTTACATTTTTGTTTTTAGTTTAATTTTTAAAAGGTTCCATTAACTTTGGTATTCCATAAATTTATAAAAATTTTATAGCTAATTAAAAAGTAACTTTAAATTTTATATTTAACAAATTTTTTAATTTTCAAATTACAATCTAATTTATGAGATCTTTTTATATATATATAAAATAATCTATTAGGGTTCGGTATTTAATAAATTTTTAAAAATTTTAAATGTGAAAGGTTTATCACACATATTTAAAATTTGACTCACTATTATATCTATTATTAGACATAAAATTAAAAAATTTATAACACAAGAGACAAAATAATTATAAACTTTATTTTTAATGTAATTAAATTAAAATTTTGAATTTTTCTTAATTCAATTTTAAAGGAATTAATTTTGACATATGTATTTTGTTACTGAAATAATTAATTTTGGTTGGATTGTATTGGATATCTTTTTAGTTGAATTTATATATATTTTTTATTGGTAATATTTTTAATAATATTTTTATAAAGCTTTGGTATTTTCATGATTGAGTTTATTCATTTAACAGATTAAAAAATTATTGGTTATTAGTTGAGAAATATTTTATTATTTACTTATAATAAATAATTTGTTGTAACAGTTATTTAAAATTTATGATAAATTTGAGATAATAATATTTTCTTTTTTAAGTTCAAAGAAATCAATGGTTATTTATTGTTTTTTTTTTCAAGTAAAATTAATGGTTATTTTAGTATTCATAATTGTGATATGTTTTGATTTATTACTTCTAAATATTCTTGAGCTAACATCTAAATAAAATTATAGCATAAAAAATAATAATATTTAATTGAAAAGGGCAAAATGGTCAATTGTCAAATAAATTATTCCCAAGTGCAGAGTCAAGAGATGTAAGTGTCACCATATGTAACAAACTTGTTATTAGTCATTTATTTAAAATAATTTATAATAATAATCCCTTGTAAATTTACAATAATGCCATCAATGAAAGTTGACTTTTAGATTAATCTACTAAACCTTCTCCTATATAATATTGTAAATATTGTAAATAATAATAATAATAATAATAATAATTCTTGGTTTTAAATATATTCATTTTTAGTATTTTTTAGGAATATTTATTTAGAAAAAAACTAAAAAGTGATGTAATTATGTCCATATTATGAATTTTAAGCTCAAATTCAAATGGTTACGTGGAAAATGTAAGGCTCCAACCAATCATAGCCTCAATTTGCTCCACGTGTACAATATTTAACTTTACACCTACGCAAACTTGAGGAGTTTCCAATTATTATTATGATTATTATTATTTTTATTTAAAAATTTTAGGCATTATAATTATATTTGTTCTTACAAGTTAACTCCAACTCCTATCATTGACCTATTTCAAATTTCTTTTTCTTTATTATAATGAGTGCTTCTTTTTCATTTGGAAGAAAGTTTTCACGTTACATTTATATTCAAAAGTGAAGAAGAATCCCTTTTTTATTTGCCATTATACGTGAATTTTGCTCGTGTAATTTTTATGTAATAGACTAAGCCTATTGCTAGTAGATATTGTATTTTTTGAATTTTTCCTTTCGAGTTTTCACTCAACGACGTGAGATCTCGCAATCCACCTTCATTTGAGTCTCATTGTCTTTGTTGACAAACTGTCCGATGTCTGACTCTGATACCATTTGGAACAGCCCAAGTCAGTGTGGGATCTCTTATTAGTTGGAGAGGGAAACGAAGCACCTCTCCCTAACATACACGTTTTTAAATCATGAGGCTAACAGTTATACGTAACGGAGCAAAACAGGTAATATTTACTTGCAGTGAACTTGAACGGGTACATTTTTAATAGGAATTATATAAAAAAAAAAAAAACGAGAAAAGTTTTATACATAGAACACGATCCTCCGAATTTATCGGTCCATGTGTTTGGAAGAATGGGGTGGAAAAGAAGAAAAGGGTTACATTGGGAAGGGCAATTAGGTGGAAAATGAGTGCTTTGGAAGCTTTCTATGAAAATTATAATTTCATTACCAAACTTAAACCCTCTATTTATTTATTTATTTATTTTATGTCTTTAAATTTAGGCTGTTTGAGTAAATTATTTAATGTAATTAAAGTGGTGTAAATAAGGAGAATCGGAGATCACGTGCAGCAGCACGTGCCTGCAACAAAATTCAGATTAAAGTAATTAGCGTTCCAACCAAAGTTTTCTTCACTAAAAATTCATCGTATCTAAATACATTTCAAGTTATAATACTTACTTATTTATGTCTAAATGAATTATTATGTGTTTTAATTGTAAACATTTATTTAATTTATTAAGTTGGATTAATTTTTTCGAGAATAATTATGGTCTTTATGTAATTGAATGCCTCTTAATTGATGGGATTAAAGATACATTCTAATAATTTAATTCTCTTCATTGACTTAAAAAATATAATTTAATTACTTATTTATACGGATTAACATGGAATTATTCTGGATTTATTTTTTAATCTTAATTAAATTAAATAAATTTTCTTCGTAGGAAAAAAAAAAAACTAATGTGATATATTTTATGTATTAAAAAAATTATTTTATTAGGGGTGGGACCCACGGTGGAAAGGCAAGGCTTTTTCTACCGAGAATTAGTTATGAAGCAAAGTTGACCAAACCATCCACGTGGCAGTTGTTTATTGCTCACGTTTCTCCCACTCCTCTTTTGAGGCGATTATAATATATAAATATATATTAAAAAAATATATTGTTTTATTTGTACTAAAAAAAGGTTATTTGGTAACGTAGGAAAAATCCATGACCTTTCATGATTGAACTTTGAAGCCTGCACTAACCTATGACCATGTGCCTATTATTTTATATAAATACAATTCAATTACTTCGAAAATAATCTTAAAAATATAAATTTAGTTTTATAGATTCAAATTCTCGTACCTCAAAAATTTTTAAATTTGATCCTTCTCGTTCAAAACTTTCAATTTTATCCCTGTTGTTTTAGCTTGAACTCGATACCTAAGTTCAAAGAACCCGCGAGCAAGAAAATAAGAGCATATATATGAAGAAGACTAAACTAAGATACACGGAACCTCTCCAAAATCTCAAATGGAATCGAGAAACGTTCAAAAAATAAAACAGAACGAATGAGTAAACTCATGCTTGCTCTCAAATGGGCATGAGATATCTAAAGATTAAAAGAACGAATCAAAGTCAAAGAATAGATCAGAGCATCCAATCTCATAATCTGAAGCAGATGATGCAATAGAATAGTTATGGAGCTTACTGTGTCACACTTGATTTGATGTCATGAGTGTAGTTATCCCCCTCCGCTGATTGGGCTGCTGCTGGTTCCCAAGTCGCCAACCAAAATGGGTCACAAATTCAGACCTCAACAAAGCCTCAAGCTAATCTTCTTCATCAACTTCCTGCCCTTCGCTCTCATCTTCACCCATATCCTCATCTTCACTTTCATCTTCATCATCACTGCCAGTATTATCTTGATCTTTTTTGCGGTCACTCTTGTTATCCTGCTTTTTCTCACCACCTACATCTCCAAAAGGGTTAATTGAAAATACATTTCCTTCATGAAGGTTGTTTGAGACTAAAGTCCGCAAAAACCAACAAAGCGATGGAAAATAATCGGAGCGGTGCCAGAAGGGAAAAGATAATGAAGATGGGGGAGGATGCTAGGAGGGAGAGCCAAAAGTTTGTACGCCAAGAAGAGGAGAACGAATATCATATAGCTCGATTTGCGAACACTAAAAGTGGGGCAAGAAATTTTCAAGATTACATACCATATTCACTGAAGATGATCCCACCAGAACACAACCCCTCCTCTACTTTAATGAGCTGAAGAGTCAGCCTAGGTCCAATCTCTTGAAGCTTGACAGCACTCTTGGTGGAAGCTTGGTTGACTCTACCTAGATCACTGGCCAAAGTGACTGTCGCTGCTTCATCATCAGCTTCACTTTCTGACCCATAACCAGCCCTATCAAACAACAGACGAGAAAATTTGTAAGAAACAAATGAGGTCAAAGATTAGAAACATGAGATAGAAATAGGAGTTTAACATAACCCTTTCCATCCCTTCCCATAGTTGGATATCACATAGGGTATATACCAAAAGATTCATTGAAGGCCCTTTTTTTAAATCAAACGAACCATAAGAAAATCTTTTATAGTCCTCCTTTTTCATATTACCCCAGTATATACTTGTACTTTTCTCAATAAAGCTTGCTTTTTATCACAAAACCATAGAACATTTAGGAAATTCAATGCCAAACACTAAAAGATGTAGAAAGCAAAGTGAGCTCGATAAAAACAATGAACAATAAACCTCAAGAAGGATACAAAATGTAATAAGTAATATTATAGGATCTAAATCACCAACAAAAGATGAAAAACAACATAAACACATAGCTTACTTTGTGACAAAGTCGCTCACATCTTGAAGACTCCTGAGATCAGGAACTTGATGATTCTGAACAAACTTTCTAAGCCTACGGGTTACACCGACAGGTTGTAATCTGATGGAATAATGTCGAAAATCAATGAGCTTTGTGTCCTTGTTATAATTAAGCAACACAATTCTCTGGCATGATGCAAGCTTAACCTGATACATAAAAATTAAATTGATGTCGAGAGGGAAAGAGGAATCTCGTCCATCTGAACGTTTAATTGAATAAAAATAAAACTCACTGTATTTATATCAATAGCTGGAAAGATGTTCTGGAACATTATAGTAGTGAGCTTTAGATGCTGATCTCCAGTCCCAAAACCAGAAAGCACAATCTGCCAATAACAAATAGCTAATTGCATGAGCATAACGAATCAACTATGGCATCACGTTTCTTCAAAAATGCTCTTTTAGCTTTTATGCTTTGAAAACATAGTATATTAACATTGTTCATGAAACAAAGCGAAGGGTGACGAGCGAAAGAAGCTAATCATAATTGTCTAAACTTTTCCTTTCGAATAGCTCATCAATCAGCACACTTACATCCTAGAATCCCATACGCACAAATCTGCTATACCTTTAGAGAAGTGAGAACATGGACTCCTTGGCCATTTTAGAGTAACAAGTGCATACAAGGGAAGAAAGACTATTACCAAAGGGGGATTCTTGAAAAGGTCTTTCGGACATCTGGGGCGCAATTGTGATTGAGCAATGTCCACGGCAAGCGAATACTCGTGTATCTTGAACGTAAGAGTTGGTCCCTGAGGGGTCCTAGCAACTCGCAAATATGGTGCACTTTCAGTTTTGGAGAGTATGAGAAAATGTGTAACACCCATAGGCCCAGCAACGTTCAAATAGTCTTTAAGATTATTCCGTTTCTTCTCCTGCAAAAGCAATACATACAAAGACGAAAAAAAAAAAAAAGATTTTGCCATGGTATGTGAGAAGTTCTAGATATAAACTTATTTCAGCAATCAGCCCAGAGCATCAAATCTAAATATCTAAAGGAAGTTTCAGTCACTATAAAGAATAAATAACAATAAATTTGTACCTTAAGATTAAGAGCAGTGTAAGGAAGCATCAATTTTCTCAAATCCATTTGCAGTTGCCTAAGAGGACCAGGCAACTTCCCTCTAGAAAATACAAAACTTTTCGGGATTTTCTCCCCTGTAACATGATCCACATTAGTCTGCTTCTTCGCCGTGATCGGCTTCACAAACCCCTTCTTCTTCTGCTTCAATAAATTACAACAAGAAAAAATTAGTAAACACCAGAAGGTCGTTCAGTCTATTATTAATATCTCTATCTTCTACCCTCCAACAAAAACAAGGTGGACGCAAGCAAACAGCGGTAGCATGAGCATGTGAAGGTGTTCTTACGTTTCCAATACGAGCCATTGCTTGCCAGAAGAATTGATACTCCTGAAAGCAGAAATTTTTGAAGCTTGATGTTGAAGAACCTCCGCGCTCACCAAAATCAAATACACATGTCGGCAACCCTAATGAACAAAAATAAAACAGGAGCGAAATCGGTTGATCACTGAACCGAATAGTGAAGGAAGACCGAACCGGTTTGGAATAAAATTGGTCCACTAACCGATCAGGTGAGAGACGAACGGCAAGCAGCAGAGCGTGGCGACGGCAATTCAAGATCAGCGGTGGGAACGGCGGCGACGAGAATAGAGAAGGTAGGAAGGACAGGCGGTGGCTGTATGAGTGGAGAAGCTAAATTGACCATTTCAATATAAGCTCTAATGATTTTGCTTTTAGCTTCTCCAAAAGCGTCGTACCAAAAGAGAGAGAATTCTTTGTTTATAAATTCATGATAGAGTATTCTTTATTTATAAACTAAATGAGCGTGAATGGACTTTTATATCCCAGAAGAATAAGAGAGGGGTTTTGTGAAGAATATGAAAATACAAAGCAGAGTTGTTTATGTCCAAATTTCAAAAATGCCATTGCAGAATTGTTTTTTCTTTTTTTAATAAATAAAATCATTTGTTTATTTATTCAATTACTTCAGACAATTTCTTCTTCTTTAATAAATTTATTTTTTTTAATTAATGGGTATGTTTAATATAAATTAAAAATAATGTCAAATAAAATGTATTTTATCTTTAATATATTCATAAATTTTTTACACTCATTTCTAAATATATAGTCTTAATTTATAAAATAAATTCTTTTAACTCATTTTGTGTACAAAAAAAAGTCTACTAAATTATGAGTAACGGTGTATTTTTCTCTCATACTAATTATTATTATTATTATTATATAAATAATAGATTACATTTTGATTATAAATAGCTGATTAAAAAGGTCAACATGAGTAATGTAATTGAAGGTTAAAATGCTCATCCCTCATATTTGTTATACTAAAAAAATCAAATTAATTAATTATAGTAGTACACAATAATAGTGTGCGGGTAAGTTGTAATCAAACTAAATGAAAATATTAGTCACAATATCGAAATGGATTTAAATACACAACACGAACTAAATCAATTCGAGCAATTATACTTGATGAAACTAGAAATCACTCGGACCCAAATGGCTGATCAAGTGAAACATGTAGCTTAAGTGAGTCACAACTCTACCACGGGTCTAGAAGCCACCTAGTTAAATGATGAGCATTTCAATATTTGAATCGAGCCTAACCAACACATTAGACCTAAAGAAGTCACATTCTCATCAACCTTTGGTCGGAGGCACATGCCATAACTCTCCATAACTAGTAGAATTATGGTCGAATTGGATCATACAAAAGAGTTGTGTGTACTAAGCTGACTTAAGAAGAATTCGAGCCTTGTTTTTTGTTTCACAGCTTTGTCAAGACATACAAAAGAGTTGACTTCTAGTGTTATAGAGTTCATGGCAGCCATAGATCTATCTACAAAAACATCAAGAATCCAGATGCTGTAAACTGCAATTTAAGCACTTTCAAAACTGGGGAACCTTTACTTTGCAGTTCAAAATTTCAGGTCTCAGAGGCATACCAGCAGGTAGGAACCATCAACAGCATCAGGAGTATTCACAGTGTTCATCATTGCCTCTTTTTGATGTTTGCTTCACCTTAGGGAATCGACCATTCCACATTCGTGCTTCTTACGACGGCATCTATGGTGTGATTTCTGATCTGCAAATGTGTTCTCTCCTACAATTTCTACTCTAGAATCTGCACAGGATGCAATCCCATCAATCATCTCTCAACTTAGATTGTGAATCAGAAAAAAAAAAAAAAGAAGGAACTGTATGTGCAAATCAGAAATTCAGAATTGAACGTGTTCAATCTTCCCATCAGCCGTTTTCGAGCAAAAGGAAGGCAGGAAATGCAGATTAAACAGGAGACAGTCATTTAAGGCAGAAGACATGTAAATGAACTTGCAAGTTCTACCAACAGCAAAGAGGCATTTATTAAGCGGACAGCTGCATTTTCTATGATAAATTATGTTGCTCATTTTCAATGAAATCTACTTTAGGACATAAATTACCTAAAACTGTCAAAACCCAAATGCATAGATGAAAAGTTAACAATGATGTAAATGCCTAAATGAGATTATGTTCATATCCAAGACAGGTATGAGGAGTCATGAATCATGAATATAACAAAAAAACTACGTCCATAAATCATCTCATCTCTAACACCTTAATTCTACTGCAGAGTTGGTCCGAAATAGTTGTTTTCGAGGGCATTTGATCTTTAGTACAAAGAACACAGAATGATTTTGTTATTTTGTGCTATCTTTTTCAACAAATCCGCCAAAGAAACCTATATAAGAACACATGTTAATGTCATCAGAGATGAAGCTTTCGTTCACATGCAAAGGTGAAGCATGAAGTCGACTACCATGGAGAAAGAACCTCCATTAACTCTTTTCTTGTGAGATCATCGGTTGGGGAGGAGAACGAAACATTTATATAAGGGTGTGGAAATCTCTCTCTAGCATATGCGTTTTAAGAACTTTGAGGGTATGTCCGAAAGGGAAAGCTCAAAGAGGACAGTATCTGCTAGCGATAGGCTTGAACGGTTACAAATGGTATAATAACCAAACACCGAATGTTTTGCAAGAGACAAAGCTAAGCTCCAAAGGGGGTGGACATGAGGTAGTGTGCCAGTAAAGACGTTGGCCCCGAATGAGGGTAAATTGGGGAGTCCCACATCGATTGAAGAAGGTAACAAGTGGCCTCATGGGTGGATTGTGAGACTAAGAATGAATATAGTTTCCAGACCATATAATGCTAAACGTCAAATCAAATGTTCATAAACCTACTCAATTCAGATGTAGATTATGCTCTCCACAAAATACATGGACAAGTTTCACAATCTAGAAGCTAGGTGATATGAATCTTAACCATCAAGGTGTCTATAATTACCTCGATCGTTAACTTACCAACAAAACAAAACGTTTTAAACAATACTAAACTTGTAGCTTAACCCATCAATCTGATAAAAATTGTGATCTTTTGAGATGAGAAGAAGAGGAAGAGGAAGAAAACGAACCTCCTAGTCGTTCACCCCATAGCAGCAATCTGGCATCCTCATCCTCCTCGTCGATCTCATCACCATACCCGAATTCACCATCTCCACGATAACCAGGCTCGCTACCATAGCCAGACTCGTTCCCCTGAGCATCAAAACCCCCATTAGAAGAACCAAACCCAGAACCCAATTGATCCTTCTCCTCTCTCTCCCTCCTCCTCGAATTCTTCGCTTCACTCACATCCGACGACCAATTCGCATCCCCATTCACAAACAACTCACCACTCGAATCCGTGCCAACCGCCATAGGGAAGTCCGAGCAGGTTCCATGAGCAGCCGAAGCCCCAACAGAGCAGCATCGTCTCGTTCCGCTTCGATCAGTACTCCGCCCGGAAACCGACCTCGATCCACGCCGCCGCCGCCGCTTCCTAGCGATCAATTGGAAGCTCGGACGCGAGTAACTGCCTCCTGCCGTAATAGAAGGCTTGTCGTCGTCAATCAAACTCAGGCCGGACATGTCAATGGCGTCGACATTGAAAGAGGTAGTTCGATCGGAGAGACAAGGGCGCTTGGTGTGCAGGCCACTGGATGAGTAGTAGGGTTTAGCGCTTGTGGGAGCGGAAGTATGGGCATCGGAATCTAGGGCTTTGGGCAGCTGGAAGGGCCTCCAACCATGGAGCTTGAGAGTACAGGAGTGAATCGATTCGCGGGAATCTAGGGCTCTGCGAGACATGAGAGTAAGAACGGAGAAGATGAATGGGAGTTGCAGAAGGGATGGAGGTGAAGAAGAAAATGGGGTTTGAGGCTTTGAGGAGGAGACTGATCGAGAATTCTGTGGAAGCTCTGTGGGCGCGAGGCTGTATTATTGGACGGGGGAGAATCTACGGCTGCTTTTTTTTTTTTTTTTTTTTTTAGAAAAACAAAAATTTTCTCTAGCCTCGAAAAAAAACACCTGTTAGACAATTTATGGATAGATTTTCACACGTTTGTAAATAATGTTTTACTTGGAATTTTACAATCCGCCCCTTTCAGGCCTAACATTCTTGTTAACACACCGCCTCGTGTTTACTCTAATCGACCCTTTATATTTAATACTTTTGATTTTAAGTTATAGTTGATATTGTGGAAATAAAGTCATACATTTCATCGTGAGGTGACCTCCATCACAGCATAAAGATTTTGGCATATTCTCCTCGTCATGCATCCCCTCACGAGTTAGTCTCTCTTTTCTTATTTTGATCTTATGGTCAAACTCTCCTAGGGTCCACTCGGTGGCGTGAAACTGTATCAAGGCATGAGATCGCACTCCTCCTCCCTTCTTGTGTTTTTTTTCTTGTTTTTCGACTTCATCCATTTTTTTTATTTTTGATTTTTTTTTTTGGAAAGCATCTCGGTAGAAAGCCTAACCACTACATAAGCTGCCATTTGTCTAAAAGAAAAAAAGGCTAGTGGTGGCTATTTGGGAAAGTCGAGCCAATTGGGTGTCCGAAGAGCAAACCAAAAAGCTCAAATTTGCATAATGGACCAATCAAATTATCCTAACAATTAATGACTTTTAAAACGTACTAATTTACAATATTATATACCTAAAAAATACTAATTTAATTATAATTACAAATGAAAGTTTACAAAAACTAGTAAATGATGCATAACATACATTATTTTCAGCAATTAGTCACAATCATTGGATGTATTCGAATTATTTAAATATTAAAATTAACTATTTTAAATATTATAAAATTGATAAAGAAGAAAATGTTAGTACAATGAGAAAATAAGAACTTAAATATAATTTAGTTTTGTATTTTATTTTATTTTTTATTGGAACAAAATGTGCAATAAGCTTAATTAGATGATCTTTTTGTTTTTAGAAAAATTAAGTATACAAAATTAAATAGAAAGCACCAATATTTTTAATTTTGGAAAAGGTTTAAGGGTAATTTGGAGTTTTAATTTTTTAATAATTTTTAATTTAGTAATTATTTTAAGAGTATATTAATAAAAACATCTTTAAATTTTAAAAATTTCAATAATATTTTTTAAATATTTTTTAATACTATTTTAGAAGTAATTTGAATCTCAAAAAATTAATTAATATGTTACATATTTAAAAACGAAGTTTTAAAAATAACATTAGCATATTTTACTTTTATAAAGAAAGTATATAAACGAAAACTATTTATTGACATCTCATCTATTATTTTTTAAATTTTTTAATATTATTTTTAAAAATCCATAATATTTTTGAAAGGTGTTATTAATAATAATTATATATTATTTTAAGTTTAAAAGTACTTTTCAAAGTTTTTTTTTTTAATTTAAAAATATTAATAAAACTTTTAAAATATTAACCATTTATAGTTTTAATGATAATATTAAAGAATTTTTTTAAAAAAATTTAAAATTATTTTTAAAATAAATGGGAAGAAAAAATATTTTTATTAATTTAACTTTATTTTGAAAACATCACAAATTTCAAACTAAGGCGAGCCCTTTGTCATTTAAAAACAAAATTCCATTTTTGCCACAGATACCCCGGAAACCCGAACCAGCTCCGATTAAATTTTAGTAACTTCCACTCGGCCTCAGCGGCTGCAGCCACACCAAACGCAACTCACAAAACAGAGATTCCGATTCAGCGGTGACCTCGAAAGGTTCACACGATGGCGTCAGGGTGGGGAATAACCGGGAACAAGGGTCGATGCTACGATTTCTGGATTGATTTCAGCGATTGTATGTCCCGCTGCCGAGAACCAAAGGACTGTACTCTACTCCGTGAAGATTATCTCGAGTGCCTCCACCATTCCAAGGAGGTGAGACCTTCCATTTCCCCTTGCTTTCTTGCATCTATTTCAATTTTCTTCCTATTTCTTATTATAAGTTAGATTGATTGCCTGAATTGCGATTAGAAATGTGGTTCCTTGTTCATTAGAGCTTTTGATGCCTAATTTCACCTCGGCTCATGTTTTTAACGTCGCATCCGAAGTCGGTTGCGTGAGATTTGGATTAGGTCTGTTTTTATATTCAACTTGTTGATTGACAAAATTTCTGGAGAAATTTGAATTTGCGAATACTTGGAATCTTGTAGCTTTTGATGATAGTGATTGATTAGGGAAAGGTCATGTCATGTCGAAGAAGAAATAAGGTTTTGTGGCTTCCGTTTCCAGTTCCACATAGTTTTTCCATATTTTGATGAACTTTTTAGAGTTCTTATCAACAAGAAAGAATGTTTTAGAGAAGCATGGTGGAGACCTCAGTCTCAACCTATTACATATTGAGTTTTGTGTATAATGAGGGAGAGGGACAGATCAACTTTATTGTTTCAAGCGAGCAGCTTGCCATACATTGCTTGTGATATAATATGTTTAGGCAAATCCGACCATAGTTCAATGTATAAGATACTAATTAAGATAGTTTGATCCCCCACTTTTGCAATGGTTTGAACTAAAAAAAAAGTTATATTTTGTTTAGGTGTTTCTGCTGAAACACAATTGTGTGATTTTATGTTTCTGAATGTACATCTTCCCTATGAAGATATGGATCTATATACACTTACACTAACAACATTGAGTTTTGCCTTCTAAGTTTAATGTGAAGAGTTTGTTTTATTCTAAAAAATAAATAAATAAAATAAAAACGGAAGTGGGATATGTTTATGGTAAGCTGAGTATATAGATGCTTGATTGTTGAAAGTAAGCTTCTATGCTGTTGGAGTCAATGGGCATTCTATCTATGAGCATTTTAATATGTAAACTGGTAGTCTCATCATATCAAGCTTTGCAACAACAGTCTTTCAACATTATCATCTTGGTGATGAAATCCTCCTCCCGAATCTCATTTTCACAAGTTGTTCTCTGATATTCTGCCGATTTTCAACAGTTGATTTTTAGCTTTTGGGGGCATTTGGATCTCTTTCCACGTCCTAATTTTCAATTTTCTTATGTTATATCCTTGATAGATCCTTCCTTTCAATGATCACTTTGTCACCGTCAGCTTTGCATATGTGAAAATCTAAATAAACCTCAGCTAAATTTGTTAGTTTTTATGGGGCTAAATGTGTAAGTCTCTAATATTTGAGTGTTTCTTCAATTTAATCTGTTGTGTTTTTTTAGTTATGTCATTTACATCGGTAAATGTTAGAACTGACTTATGATAAGTTTACATTGTATGATATTTGGCGAGTTGACAAAAATTTAGAAAAGGAATTATGCCATTTAAGTAAGGAATTTTTTTAACTTGACCTCCATATTTTTAAGAAGTCGGTAGAAATTTTGACATTTGCATAGTTTCCATTTTAAATTTTTGCAGACTCTCTAAATATATGTCATGAAAGCTTATCATCAGTAAATTTTAACATTTATGGATGAGAATGATATAATTGAAAAATACTAAATCAGAAGGAACTAAGTTGGAAACTTTTTGAATGATAGATACTAAATTATTGAAAAATGCATAAACACTAGGGTAGTTGTTTAAATTTGTCTTCAGTGTTATTTCTAAATGATTACGCCTTATGCATGTGACTTCTGGAAAGCACATGCAACTATGGATAGTTTTGATTTACAAGAATAGCATTCAACTTATCTTCCCTTGTTGGCATTGACATGCGCTATTCATTTGGTACCGATCATTTGAATTTGAAAACTCCCGTTGCTTAGTATCTCCGTGTTTGGTATCAACCCCTTCACTAGTTTACACCTGTTTTTTTTCCTTTATTCTTTTTCCTTCTCCAGTAGCTTTTTCTCTCTCGATTGTACTTTCATCTGTTTTGAGATAGGTGGGCTCTGCTAAAATTGACTTTATTTTTATATCCAAACCCACCAAATAACAAAAATCACAGTGCTAGGTTTTTGTAGGAATATGGTTAACTTTTTTTCACCATGCAATCAGATGATCTTTTCTGATTTTTCCTGGGATATGTTGCTCACTTGAGTCAGAAATGAATCTCAATCCAATTACTATTTTTGGTGTCACCTTATATTGTAATGTTTTAATCGTTCCATGTGTGCGTGTCTTTGAGTGGTGTGGTCTCTGCTTTGCTATTGCTATCACGTCATACAGATAAGTTTGTTATATCACTTGTACGTTCAGTTTGATTGCTCATGTGGAAAAGGGTAGACAGGTGGATTTTTTTTATTTTAATTAATTTATTTTATTTTTTGCATTCTAAAACCATCATAGGTTGGTTCACTAGTCCCAAGTGCAAGTGGTTATCTTAAATGCATTTGAGGTCTCAATCATGGTTCAAAACTTAAATTATAGCCGCCGTGTACCTAACATTCTAGAAATATTTATCTAGTATCCTGACACAACATAGTACTTGCAATTATTCCATAGAATTATTCATGCACCAAGTCTTTAAAGAAACAAAAATTAAGACTACTGCTGTTTAGAGTGAGTCGAGCTGGTACTTGATTCTTTCAACTACTAATTTGACCTTGATGAAAATACCACACATAAATTGGTTAGATTATGTTTGTTGTGTTATTCTTGCTGTTGTCTTTATTAACATATAAATTAGTTAAATGAATTTGTGGAACAAGATAAAAGCAGTTTAACATGTTATGATTGTGACTTGAATTCTAATATTTATTAATTGAGTGAGGTATTCAATCATGATGATTCTAGAGGGTATGTTTAAAATCATAGTTTACAGAAATCGAACTAAAAAGCTTATGTACATTTTTTTTGCATCATTTCTTTTTGCAAAATCGTTATATCATTCACTTAAGACAACTCTTCCATTTTTGAATAATGAGGTATATATCTGGACATGGAGCTCAGATTTCTAAGTTGTACCTATCATATTTGTTATTTATCTCTCTACTCAATATGAATATATTAGTGAGTTGATTTATGGAAGGTTGTTAAGAATTACTTTTTTAGGCTTGATAGGAGAAT